CATCAAACGTGAAGGGTAGAATAACAAGACAAGAAACAATTCTCTTGTCAGAAAAGAAAACCTAAGAAATAAAAGTTCTTGTGAAGAACGTTTGTAATCGGATCTCAACGGCGCTAGTACCCCGTATCGAATCCAATTTGTGTAGTGTGGATACCAGTAGAGGCACGACACTTGGAGTGCTAGGCAACCTCAAATCATTCAAATTCATCTTTCCGCTGCAAGAATATCCAGGTATATTCGAAACTATATAACCTAGATCTAATTTAGTATTTACACGAATCCTGGAAATTGAATTCTAAATTAATATTTATAAATAGTTATAAATCGCCTATGAATTCCAACACCTACATGCTAAAAGGGAAAGATAGGAGCATATAGTTTTGTAAACCTATCTTCCATACATCACTTGCTCCTTGTTTCTTTCTTATTTCCTGATCTCACAAAGGTTAGCGGTTTGTGTTGGTATTGGTAGAGGATGGATCTTGGTGAACCGAGAGACAAGGTTTGCGGTTTTGAATACATGGTTAGAGGCTTTGTATGATGATTTCGGTTGGATGAGACGGTTATCCTCGAGAACCATAGATAGGAAAGTGGTGGAGGATGGACTTAGCCAGACCATTGTGACCTTGTCACTGAGACAACAACTGGTGATTCTGATGAAATGGTTTGATGGGTTTCTGAGCAAAGGCGATGATTGTCCAAATGTTCAAAGAGCATTTGAGGTATGGTGGAGGAGAGCTTTCATAAGGCAGGTCTTGACAGAGCCGGATGCATCGCAGCTGCAGATTACACTCCACGACTAACCCAAAATAGTATATAAGCTTGTGACCCTGAAATGTCAAATGTTCTTCTTACTTTTGGATATACTTTTATTAGTTGTGTGACTTACAATGACTTGCAAGAATATAAACTCTTGCAAACTCCTTGATCGACCAACAGAATCTGAAAACAAAATTTACTGCTCTTGGAAACTTTTGGAAGAGTAAACTGTTGTGTTTTACTAAAAGTTATCAAAGCAGCAAACCCAGATGCGTGTTTTTGAGGACTTTATCAGATGGGATTCACCTGGAGATTGGGAGAGCTTTGAGCATGAAGCTACTGAACCATCGGAAGGCTCGAAGCCTCGTCGTGGCCACCTTTCTCAACGGATGTCTGATCAAGGAAATCTGTGGAGAAAAAGTTGGAACGATGCATCCACTTTGCCAGCCGATGACCAAAAGCCCCTCCTAGACTCAAACCGAGATGGAGAGAAGGTGTGTCTTTTTTGAGATTATTCATGCTGATTTGCGGGAATTAGGTTTGACCTTATTCTCTTGAAAAATTATCTGATTCTTCATTATCTGGAAACAGTGCGGCCTCACCAGCTTCTTGACCAAATGGTCTGCACAGCCTTCAGAGGATCAGCCGATACTCTTAACCAGACAAACTTCGGGGACAAGAAACAAATGACCTCTTAATTGGAGCGACTCTACCTCATCATCAAATCTACTTTGGGGGCTCTACAACGTAATACTTTCTTCTCAATATTACAAACCCTTAGAGCCATCTTCATTGTGGCCCTCTTGTCTCTATATAATACATATATTCGGATGCAGGTAATAATCTTCCGGATAGAGCACAGACCATCAAAGACCTGAGACGTCTCTGCTTGGTCTTTGAACACGTCGAGAAGTTGGTAACAGTCGCGGCATCCCTTCACAGAAAGTTCCTGGGAGCATAGTATTCAGCGAATTCTTTGGCATTTATGGTCCAATGATGGGAATGAGCTCGAATGATGAAGAGAACAAAAGCAGGACGGTGAGTCAATCGTTAAACTAACAAGAATTTCTCTAATGGGAATATTATGATTGAATGATGTGACATGTCTGGTTAATGAACATGACATGGAAGTGAGTTTGAGAGAGAGAAAAGTGTTGAGCATTGGGAAATCTTCTAAACGGACACGAACCGGAGACAATGTCAACAACGGAATCCATTACGCGGGACGTGGCTGCCACCAGTGACCGCCGGAAGGGAGAAGAAATCGAGACACACCAAATGTACGCAGGCCGTCCCTGAGATAAATGAGGCCACAAGCGAAACAAAAAACGGGGGCCCTACTTCGTATGTTAAAACCATAATCAAACGTATCCGATTTCAT